CCCTCGAGATTTAGCTTGAGAGGGAAGAGACCTGGGCAGGAGCACGATGATTAGTTGTTTCTCTCGTTATCTTTTCTTACTTTACTGCTTTGCTTTCATTCTTTCTGTTTCATCTGCTGTCGTCCCTCAAAATTTGCATGGACAAAGACAAGAATACGGGTCGCGTGGACTCGTACAAGTTAACCTAGGACTCTTTTTTAACTTGCCTGTTATATGGATTCCCCAAATACCTTTCTGTGTGGTAGCTTAGTTTGTATGAATAGGAATGCTATCTTTATATCAGGAACTACTCATTCGGGTGAAACGGATTACAGAAAGATGCTCGCGACCAGCTCGACGTGACAGGACAATTGTGCTTTTCAAACCGTAGGTATTCAACATCCGATGCTGAATCTCAGGTATGTTGTTCTCCTTGACCGCTACGAGGTAGAAGCGACCCCTGGGCGACAGCAGGTCTGCCACCATTTCGAGGAAGCGATTAGTGACTTGCATGCCATCAGAACCACCAGCCCATGACCCCGCAATCCCTTTAATGTCTTGGGCTTCGGAGACTTCTGAGATGATCGTAGGAACGTAAGGGGGATTGAAAAGGATGACGTCTATGGCATGGGCAAGTCTTGAATGAAAGGGCAAAGCGAAAGAGGCGTTGATTGGGTTTAATGGAATCTGTCGAAGGACATATAACTGAGTTGTGATTGGAGTTGACAGAAGGAATGTTACCTTGTTTTCAATGCCAGTTCTGTGAGTGCATTTACATGCATGAGGGTTTATGTCGGTGCAAAGGTACACTATCCGGAAATCAGAGATGGTCGGGTGAAGATACTCTGGGTGCTTACGCGTTGAAGATGCACCCAGTATTTGGCCAATAAAAGCAGATACACAGCCAGATCCAGAGCTAAGTCTCGGTCTCAGTATAGACCGAGGCAAGATATCGAGAATGCTTGCCCGATTTCTAGACAGGTTGATGGAATCATGGACCTCAAGTCCTCGGCATCTTGTTCTAATGCATCAAGTAGAATAAATGTATCCTCTGCAGTAAAATTAGCAAAATAATATCCACAGAGCTAGTTGACAACTTACCCGCAGGCTCGTACACGAGATCGAAATCCTCCGCAGACAGATGAGATAGGCGAGGAGTGGGGATCATCGTGGGAATTTCACGAAATTTTGGGGATGAGGGTCGCGTGCGGCAACTTGCTACTCTACCGTTCACTTTCACCATGGCAAGTGGTAAGTCTGCTAAATTTCCGAGTTTTCTAGGTCTTCTAATCATTAATCATAGAAAAATCAATTTCCGTGACTCCCTGGCTATCCAGAGCACTTCACAGAATTCGCACAACCCCTCCCCGTATCATTGCTTCTCCGAGGACCCGTACGACCCTCTGTAATATCTCGCTCAACATTTACTGACTTGTCTTGGTACAGAGCCGCGAAGAGCAGCAGTAGCCATACTTATCCGCATCGTTCCTGGTTCCTCATGCCCACCTCCACCTGCTGCGCAGACTGCTCAACCTTCCCTGTCCGAATTCTTCCAACAAGAGTGGGTTAATGCCCCTGATGCTCAACCAGAAATTCTCTTTTTGAAACGAGATACGCCTTCACCAGAGGAAGCTGTCGTCTCTCAACCCAGAGCTCGGCGTAATGAAGCTCATGTTGCTTTTCCGGGCGGTCGAACAGAGTCTGACGATGAAGGTGGAATGTACACCGGTAAGCAATACAAACGTTGCATATAGTCTCACTCTGACGATGTTCATTAGCTCTGCGTCAAACCTGGGAAGAAATAGGCATTGATCTTGCCGAAAAAAATTACATGTGTATCGGTCAACTCGATGACCGGGAGATCACGACATCTCTCGGGAAACGTCTTCTTATGATTCTTTCTCCCTTTGTATTCCTCCAAGTCACACCCCAGGCACCTCCGCCCGACCCCATTCCTTCCACTACACTTCATTGGACGCCTTTAGCATCACTGGTCTCTCCCCAAAGGCCACCCAAATGGTCGACTGTTACTGTCGACGCCGCCTCTCGTCTTGCCCCGAAACACTCTGTCGCTCTGAAGCTTCTTGTCCGTGTTTTGGTCGGCAGCATGGAGTTCCCAGCCATCATTATCGAACCTTCTTTCTCTACACCACCTGCTCAGGACCCCAGCGTTTTGAAACTTTGGGGATTGTCCCTAGGAATGACACTTGACTTGATGTCATACATGATCCTTCCTACAAACGAGTACCCCAACTACAACTCACCGTCCATGGCGGATGTAAAAGTTGCGGGAGATTTGCCGAGGGAATCTAGAGCATCCTCGCCTCTTGGAAACGTCATGAACCTGCCCTATCATACACCAGAAGCTTTGAGAATGGAGGTCGTCGCACCTAGCTTGGCTAGTGTGTTCCCCAGGTTCTCTTACCCTGATGTGAACTTTTGGATTTGGTGAGCATTCTTATCGCGCATACATGTGCTTTTCTGACATCGCTTCGTTCAGGGTCTTTGGTAAACGTTACAGAGAAGTCGTTCGAGGCTGGGAAGCCAGCATTCGTTCCGGCGGTGTTAACGATCGAAGAATAAACTGGTCAGGTCAAGCATTGAGCACATTCTACGCATCGATTCGCAAGGCGCTAGTCGTTGTGATTGTCGCTCGTGCTTTGGCTATCATCTTTGGTCTCGCCTTTGCCGGGTGGTGGATCTTTTCATCGTAAACCCATTTCCAGACGCCTTCATGGACAAATCGCAGCCACTCCTCCTTTAGCCTTTACACGGTTTCTCTCTCATACAGGACTCGCGCATTTTTATTCCTTAAATTGTAACTTCTTAGAGGCGAGCGTGTTTGTGTTGTTAGATGGGCTCTTTCTGATCTGGTTCCTGCGCACTGTGTTATTGTCAAGTGGGTTTTTCGATGTGTATTATTGTACCTTACACTCTGCACTCCTCTCCTTCCTTTACACGCAACGAACAGTTTCTACGCCTTATGATACACGATACAATATCTACTGTGTCAACGATTAATAGATAAGAAGATAAATTACAATGTCAGGTCGTTACAATCGTCGTCGGTGTCAAGGGGGCTTAGGGCCCATTAATAATGTCCATCCTGGGTCCATGAAAGAACTAGGTCGTAAACCATACAAGTAAACATCCACACCCAACCAATCTGCCCTTAGTAACGCCCTAGACATCTCTGTCTGCTCATCAGGGTACGACAGACGTACACGATACGCCTGTTTTGCGCGCTCCTTGACCGCCTCTGGCCACTTTTCCCAATCTCTCCTCCCAACTGGCGTAGCAAAGTTGATTTGAATCGCATAAAACAAATCATCAAGCAACACCCCTTCATTCCCTTCCCTATTCTGCACCGTAACAGGCCAAGGAAGTTTACAATCCCTCGTCCACCATCCTTCACCTTCTTCACTAAACGCGATTCCGTTGAGATACATATGCGTAACCCACGGCCAAGTCGCAGGTTGCAGATAATCCGGTTTTCTCAGTAATGACATGTTGCCGTTAGGTCCTGTGTTGAACATGATAAATTCTGCGGCGTTGGGTCGGGAGATGTTCCATTCGAGAGTTGGTGTGTGCGTGGGTGTGTCCAGGAGTGTTAGAGCGGGGTTTAGTTGGGTTTCCCAGGGAAATGGAAGGGGTTGGCCTGGAGTGAGAGGTGTCCAAAGTGATGGCCGAGGTGGGAGCGAAGGAAGTCTTTGACCCCGACACCACCTTTCAGGATGAAAGGATTCAGTTGGATATGGGTCTTGAGGATCTGGACTAGGTAAGGGTTAGCATTAGTGCAAAGGAAAATGGTACAAGGACGTACATTCGTAAGGAATCAAACATGGCTTCGAGGTCAAGCTGCGGAGGTGCGCGTCTAGAACGAGGAGCTAGCTTAACGTTAGCCGCATGATGTGAAGACAGTGCACGGCGACTTGCAATTATTCTTGACAAAAGTCCCGTTTACATACGGAGCGACATAGTACCCCCAAGCTTTCCACTCTGATAGAGGTACGACTTGCATCGGAGGTGTCGGTGGAAACGGTCCGTTCCATTTGAATAATGGCCATTGTCGATCCTGGGCCTGAGGCGGAGGCGTGTTTCGGTGTATCTGGGCTTGGTGAAAACGATCTCGTCTGCGCAAAATCTTCCTGATAATTCTCAATAACCAACCTCCGCTCTTGGATCGAAGAACGTTCCTGTCTGTTCCGTGCGTTCCTGTTCGTGTCTGCGTTTGGGTTTGGGTTTGGGCTTGGGGTTGGGGTTGCGTTTGCGTCTGCGCCTGAGAGTTTCTTTCACCGACGATCGAAGATGTAAAGGTCTGAGGCGAAGCAGTCATATGAGTGCTCCTCGATCCATCCAAAGACCCTGAACCCGTCTCCTCGAATGCAGGCAACTCCCGGGGCAACACTATGGGCGAAGGAAGCCATGGAACACTGAGGTCGTCAATGTGCCTATAGAAACCACCATGGATAAGATGATTGTCGTAGAGGTTTCCTGTGGGAAGGGGCATAGCTGGGGGTTATCGGTGGTTATCGTATCCTAGACGTGGACATTTGAGGAGAAAAATGAGGACTGGGTTTGGAAAAACGTGTTGTGAGTCCCGCAGCTGTGCATTTCTTGTTTTCTGTGCCAACGCAATGCCAATGTCCTCGTGGGCGTTTGTTGGAAACCGCGGTTCTTTCGGCAAGCGCCCTTTGTAGCAAAAATAGCAACTTTTGTCTGCCATTACATGTTCAAGCTGTCAAAATCTCAAGCTCGTCGTAACGGTCTTTTGGGATGACCTTGAGCTATGGTTTGGTCGAGATGGATGCGGTATTAGTGGTATACCTGTCTACAAACATGATGCTATTCTTGTACCGCCTTTTATACACTATAACGATGACGAGTTTTGAGTCGTCTCTATGGAATCGTCTCTTTGGAATGCGCAGGGTAGCTTTCAGCCTGGTTCATTATATTTAATGCATCGCCCTAGGTGGTCCTATTACGAAGAGTGATTGCTACTAAATTTGTATAGTGCACAGAGCAGCATGGCGCAGTGGTAGCGCGCGGGGCCCATATGGTGTCACCCCGAGGTCACTTGATCGAAACAAGTTGCTGCTATGTCTTTTTCATTCAGACGTCTAGACATTGGCGCGAGTTCAAGCGGGGTGTTGCGAAGTCAATATCTCACTGCCAGGTCAAAACACTGCCCACAATCGTAGTGTATGTACGACCTGAAGCGTTCGTACGCGTCCATGCTTGAGCCAGCTTGACGCTCGAGCCACCAAAAATTAAAGTAATGTATTTTGAAATTTGTACAAGTTACATCAATACCTAGTCTACACTACAAAATTGAAAGGCCATCCACAAATCCACAATCCTCAGCAATCCATTTGTTGTATCCCGCAACACTTCAAACAAAAGCGTCGCATAGAAGGGCAACAAAAAGAGAACGAGAAAAGCAAATCCCGAAAATGGGATTCCCCTGACGACACAGGCTGATACTGCAATAGCAAGGTCATCGTGCCTCCGAGTTGCAAGCAGAGCTCGAAGGGCGGGGGCGGCAAAAATTGCATAACCTTCAATAATGGCGGTGCCATTATACAAGAGGTTAATCTTGTAAGAACAGATACTACACTTGATCTAAGCCAAAAGGCCAGAGTGGTAAGGATACCAAATGATTTCGTCTCGGTTTTATAGCTTTCTGGAGTGCGCACGGACCAGGTAAACACCACGTGAGAACAAGTGCCCTTCTCTGAGTCTGAGCGCTCGTTCGAGCAACGAGCTGTCAGTGTTTTTTCTTGACCAGGGCAAGGTAGGTTCTGGTCGCACGAGAGGTATAAAGTTTTCTGCTCTCAATGGATCAGTAAACTCAAGCGACATTCTTAGTGACTCAGTACTCATGGCTAGCAGCCCCCGTTGTATCAACTGTAAAACCAAAATTCTACCCACATGTCACTACCCAGCCGTTCCGACTGCTACCCTCCGCTCAAATCACACACCGACGCATTCAGACGTTGCGTACATAAGGGTCGTTCTGCAGGAAGAGGAGCAGGAACTACAGAGATACGACGAGGAGATCGAGAGTCTTCGTCAGACATTGGAAAGGCTAGAAAGCGAGCGGGAGTTGTTGACGCGAAAGATTGGGGAGCGTAGGAGTTGGTTGGCACCGATACGACGACTTCCCGTGGAGATTCTAGAGCGTATTTTCGTTCAGCTTCCAACCTGCCTCAATATTGTTGGACCAAGACAAGGGAAAGGACGCTATCAGCTCACCAGTTCAGCTATAACCCTTTCTCATGTCTCTTTTCACTGGCGAAGCGTTGCCACTGCACAACGCTCCATTTGGTCTAGAATCAAATGGGCGCGCAATGATCCCCACATAACAATGAAAAATGACTTGACTCCGCTACTCGACATCTTTCTTGAAAATGCTGCTAGCCATCCGCTCGAGATCTCCATCAAGTTTCCCTTGGCCTACTCCACCATCCAATCCTCGACTTCGGCAATAGTAGAACGAATGGGAACACATGCCATTCATCTCCTTCGGACATTGACGAACCAGTTTCCTCGTTGTGAGGTCCTCTCTATCACTGATTTGGAGGTGGAGGCTCTAGACCATGTCTTCCCGCATGGAACAACATTTCCACTGCTACGCAGCTTACGCTACGACCCTCAAAGATTCAGAGACAACAACGTCTTCAAAACAAACGGTCGTTTTTGGAACGCTATTTACAGTGCACCTCGCCTCCAAGGTATCAGTTTCGATACGATACTAGAACCGATGGAACATCCTGGGCGTGTACCATGGAATCAGCTCAAGTCCATCCACGTCGACTATTTGGTCTATTACCGCGATTTCCTTTTCCTCGTCACGCATTGCTGCCAGCTCGAATCGCTGGAAATAGACGTGCCTTTTGCAGGTTTCGAAGAAGACGATGAAGATGAACCAGAGTGGGATGAAACTATCATTCCAGTGGTGGTTCCGCACCTTCAAGAGCTTTCCTTTGAAACCACTTCATCGGTGGTTTCCCATGCTCTGCTAAGAGCTCTTACCCTTCCGTCTCTCGAAAGACTAGACTTTGGGTTCGGAGAGTCGGATAATTTGGATTCCGTCTGCGAGAGTTTGCAGACCTTCTCTTCCATGCTCCAGCGCTCTTCGTGTGCTTTGACCATGCTGTGTGTGGTTATCAGACCGCGTAGTATCAACGAACGCTTTTTATCACTTCTTCCAGAGGTTCTGGAACAGTTGTCATGTTTGGAGTGCCTTCAATTATATGTGGACACACCATCTGACAGGGGAAGGACGAATCCAGGCACAGGTGGATCATTGCACAACATTATTGGCAGAATATGTTCACTACTCTCACTCTCGTCGAACCGTTCTCAGACTATTCTTCCCAAACTGGTCGAACTCCACTTGGACGACGGTTTTACAGCACCATACCCTAGTTCACAAATGGGGTCCGTCTTAGACGTGGTTGAGGAAAGAACTGGTCCACGTCTTGATGCCTCGGGGAGAAAGGACATTTCTGCTCTCAGAGATGTCTCAATATCCGTATGTTTAATTGGAAAGAAACAGGAACTGCCTGGTATTGAAGACCGAGTTGCTGCTCTCGAGAGGGATTTGATCGAATGTAGTATTTTATGGGATTTCGTAGAGTCGTAGTATTTCCCTGTGACCCTAACCCTATAAAGTATAGGCACGCTCATTCGAGTTGATTTTTGTTCAGAACAGAGGCCGTCCACGTTACATGAAAGGTTCATCATTTTTTTGCTGTCAATGAATCACAGCGAACTCAAGTTTTATTTTCAGTGTCTGAATCATGGCCAGCAGCCCCCGCTGTATCGACTGCAAAACCACAATTCTACCCACATGCCACTACCCAGCCATTCCGCCTGCTACCCTTCGTTCAAATCATCCACCAACACCTCCAGACGTTGCGTACACAAGGGTCGCTCTGCAGGAAGAGGAGCAGGAGCTACAGAGATACGACGAGGAGATTGAAAGTATTCGTCAGACATTGGAGCGGCTAGAACGCGAGCGGGAGTTGTTGAATCGAAAGATCGAGGAACGTAGGAGTTGGTTGGCACCGATACGACGACTTCCTGCGGAGATTTTGGAGCGTATTTTCCTTCAGCTTCGTATTCGCCTTCACGTCGGCCGATCGACACCGCGAAATGGATTAAGAACTTATCGGCTCACCAGTTTGGCTATAACCCTTTGTCATGTTTCTGTTCACTGGCGAAGCGTCGCCACTGCACAACGTTCCATCTGGTCTAGGATCAGATGGGTGCGCTTCGATGGACCGATGAAAAAAGACTTGACACCATTACTTGACATGTGCCTCGAAAATGCCGGAGACCATCCGCTGGAGATCTCCATCGACTGGTGCTACGAACCTTTCGCCGTTCAAGACCCTAGTCGGACGACAGAGGAACGAATAGGAAGACACGATCTCAATTTCCTTCGGACATTGACGAACCAGTTCTCTCGTTGCGAGGCGCTCTCCCTCATCGGTCTGCACTGGGAAGCTCTAGACCATGCCTTACCGGACGAGACAAAGTTTTTATCCCTACGCAGGCTAGATTACCATGGTATGCCCAGGGTCAATAACATTTTCCAAACCAGCCGTCGTTTTTGGAACGCTATCTACAATGCACCTTGCCTCCAGGGTATCAGGACGAATGCAATAACAGATCCGATGGGAAATCCTGGCTGCGTTCGATGGAGTCAGCTCAAATCCATCAGTGTCAACTTTTCGTCCCATTACACCGATTTTCGTTTTCTCGTGACACATTGCCGTTGGCTCGAGTCGCTTGAGATATACAGGCAAGTCGAGTGGGAAGATGGACCACGTTGGGACGACGCTATCGAACTCGTGGCGCTTCCGCGCCTTCGAGTGTTATGTTTTTATCCAAAGTCACCCGAGATACTCCGTGCTTTGCTGGGATCCCTTACCCTTCCATCTCTGAAAAGACTTAACGTGGGATTTGGAGAGTCGGATAGTTTGGATTCCATCTGCGAGGGTTTGCGATCCTTTTCTTCCGTACTTGAACGCTCTTCGTGCGCTTTGAGCTCTCTTCGTGTGGTTATTGCACCGTGGAGCATCGACGAGTGCTTTTTATCACTGTTTTCGATGGTTCTAGAAGGATTAGAGTGCTTGGAAACTCTCGAAGTATACGTGGGTAGAATGGATAAAAACAGGACAGGGATGATGAATCCAAACAACGGCGGAATTCGTGACATTATCGGCAGAATATGTCCACTACTCTCGCTCTCAACAAATCGCGCACGGGCTGTCCTTCCCAAACTGGTCAAACTCTACTTGGATGACTCTGAAACGCCATCTCCTGATAGCTCGCAGATGGGGTTGATTTTAGACGTGGTCGAGGAAAGGACTGGTCCACGTCTCGATTTGTTGGGGAGAGGTGATGTTTCTGCTCTCAGGGCTGCCTTTGTAGAGATGGAGTTCGTTGGCAAGGAACAGAGTCTGCCTGGTATCGAAGAAAGAGTAGCTGTGCTCGAGAGGAATTTGTTTATATGTTGTATTTCATGGGAATTCCAAGATTCGTAGCTCGTGTGTAGATAGCAAGGTGGTAATTTGGACGAACAAGTGAGTCACGACCGGTGACGACGCTGACGAGCGCTTGGCTTTGTCATAAAGCACTACCGCCAGTGACCCTAACCCTATAAAGTATGGACAGCAAGAAGAGCCTACGACATTCGTATGCTCATGAAAGTTATGGATGGCATGTTCCTCACCACTCAGAGCCATCCCCAGTAACACATACACCATCTGTCATCGCTGTTCCTGACGATGGCGACACGACATTAACGGACCTGCTCAAATCATTTTCGATGCAATACACTTCGACCGCAATTGCGATGCCATGGGAAGTGGCCCGTACTCTTCTGCAGGTGCAATACCTTCCCAAAGAATCTACAGAGTCTGCAGTTGAAGAAGACGGCGACGAGAGTAGTGAAGGGGAAGAAGACGAGACGGATGACTCGTATTTTGCAGATCCGGATGCCACTCCGACCATTCCAACGCCGCCTACTGCGCTTCGCCCATTGCCCAAACAGCAGGAGCAGCCAACTTCTCCTCTTTTACCACCGA